TATATAATTTTACACTGACCCATGATTGGTTAGTTGGTTATTCCTAATCTGTTCTTCTGATTGGTTGTTTGGTAAATATTCACATATTATTCCTTTACTGGACCATGATAGGTTGGTTATTTCTTCACTGAACCATGATTGGTTGGCTATTCCTTTACTGAACCATGATTGGTTGGTTATTCCTTTACTGAACCATGATAGGTTGGTTATTCCTTTACTGAGCCACAATTGGTTGGTTATTCCTTTACTGAACCATGATAGGTTGATTATTCCTTTACTGAATCATGATTGGTTGGTTATTCCTTTACTGAACCATGATAGATTGATTATTCCTTTACTGAACCATGATTGGTTGGTTATTCCTTTACTGAACCATGATTGGATGATTATACCTTTACTGAACCATGATAGGTTGCATATTCCTTTTCTGAACCATGATAGGTTGGTTATTTCTTTACTGACCATGATTGGTTGGTTATTCCTTTACTGAACCATGATAGGTTGGTTGTTCCTTTACTAAACCATGATAGGTTGGTAATTCCTTTACTGAACTATGATAGGTTGATTATTCCTTTACTGAACCATGATTGGTTGGTTATTCCTTTACTGTACCATGGATTGGTTGGTTATTCCTTTACTGAACCATGATAGGTTGGTTATTCCCTTACTGAACCATGATTGGATGATTATACCTTTACTGAACCATGATTGGTTGTTATTCCTTTACTGAACCATGATAGGTTGGTTATGCCTTTACTGAAACATGATAGGTTGGTTGTTCCTTTACTGAACCATGATAGGTTGGTTATTCCTTTACTGAACCATGATTGGATGATTATACCTTTACTGAATCATGATTGGTTGTTATTCCTTTACTGAACCATGATAGGTTGGTTATTCCTTTACTGAAACATGATAGGTTGGTTATTCCTTTACTGAACCATGATAGGTTGGTTATTCCTTTACTGAACCATGATTGGATGATTATACCTTTACTGAACCATGATTGGTTGTTATTCCTTTACTGAACCATGATAGGTTGGTTATTCCTTTACTGAACCATGATAGGTTGGTTATTCCTTTACTGAAACATGATAGGTTGGTTATTCCTTTACTGAACCATGATTGGATGATTATACCTTTACTGAACCATGATTGGTTGTTATTCCTTTACTGAACCATGATTGGTTGTTATTCCTTTACTGAACCATGATAGGTTGGTTATTCCTTTACTGAACCATGATTGGTTGTTATTCCTTTACTGAACCATGATAGGTTGGTTATTCCTTTACTGAACCATGATAGGTTGGTTATTCCTTTACTGAAACATGATAGGTTGGTTATTCCTTTACTGAACCATGCTAGGTTGGTTATTCCTTTACTGAACCATGCTAGGTTGGTTATTCCTTTACTGAACCATGATTGGATGATTATACCTTTACTGAACCATGATAGGTTGGTTATTCCTTTACTGAACCATGCTAGGTTGGTTATTCCTTTACTGAACCATGATTGGATGATTATACCTTTACTGAACCATGATTGGTTGGTTATTCCTTTACTGAACCATGCTAGGTTGGTTATTCCTTTACTGAACCATGATTGGATTATTATACCTTTACTGAACCATGATAGGTTGGTTATTCCTTTACTGAACCATGCTAGGTTGGTTATTCCTTTACTGAACCATGATTGGATGATTATACCTTTACTGAACCATGATTGGTTGGTTATTCCTTTACTGAACCATGCTAGGTTGGTTATTCCTTTACTGAACCATGATTGGATTATTATACCTTTACTGAACCATGATTGGTTGGTTATTCCTTTACTGAACCATGCTAGGTTGGTTATACCTTTACTGAACCATGGTTGGTTGGTTATTCCTTTACTGAACCATGCTAGGTTGGTTATTCCTTCACTGAACCATGATTGGTTGGTCATTAATTTACAGGACCCTGATTGGTTGTTTTTTTCTACACTAATCATTAGTTGATTATTCCTAACCTGTAGTGCTAATGCAGTTTTTCATGTGCTTTAATTTTTTTTCGTGTTTAGAAGTAGACATCAAGAACTAATAATACTCAGTTAGGGTCAATCCTGCTGTCAATGTCAAAATTATTATTTTGTAATATAGATATAGATAGCATTGCAACCTACTGGTATTTTGAGTCCAAAAAGGATGCAAAAAAATGATAGCCAACAACAGAGTAGTTCAAAAAGTAAATGGGCACATGACACTGGGTCTGTATTTTATTAAAATTATATCAATTAAGACAATTTTTCATATATCGATATGTGCTGCTGATATGTAACTGCTCGAATAAACTTTGTAACACCAAAATATGGTGCGAATTTTCACTACCGCTCAATGCATCTGTAATTGTGTATGCTATCGTTTTGGATGCTATAACACATTTGTACATGGTTTTTGAAGCTTTAAAGATATTTTCATGTCTCAGAGTTACATTTGAAATGAATTTGGTATATAATATAAAGCAATAAACCACCAGTGAACCCATTCCTGCATATATGTTGTGAATTGTGCAATACTTCAAGATACAGTACACCTAACAATGACAGAATATTCTTAAATGTTATTTTTTTTTATAAATAATTATATTAAAAAAACAAAACAATAAAATAGACTTATGATTGGTTTTTAAAAAATGAAATATTTGAGGTTGATAATTGAAATAATAGCTGTATTTTAATCACATATTGATATTTATATTACTTCTTTGATTTGTGTGTGTTGTCGTATATTTTATGCGGTTAATGGTGGTGCATGTCCTTTTCAATTACCTTTTACTGTTATTTTTCTAACTATATTTAGGTTATAAATATTAATAATGTACTCATATAACATTGCGTCCACAGTCTCATGTATTTGTACAAACATGTAGTGATGTCACTGCCAAGATGGAAGGTCTTAAAACTTGTGTCCTATTCAGGCCAGATTATTTGTGAACTACAGAAAGTTAACTGAATGCAATCTATGTACAGTGCTGACCATAACCTTCAAAAGGCAGAAGGCAGGATATGAGGATGCATATACTTAATTTTGTGTTCTTTATAACCACATTAAAATCAGCTTTAGTTTTTTTCAAGAGCAGAATTTTTGTATTACTCAGTTACCATAGTACCATACTTTTGTAGTAGGTTTTTGTATTGAATAAAGTATTATTATTTTAACACAAGTAATATATTACAGTGTATGATTTATGTTGGCATTAGCTGTTAACTGCAGCTGTCAACTAAATGAAACCTTCAATGAACCACCGTCCCTCAACACCGGTGTTGCGGGACGGTGAATGAACACACAGAGGCTACATAGTCAGTTTGGCCAATATTTTATCATTGAACACACATACTACTTGGTCATCTTGGCAAATATTTCGTCAATGAACACACAGACTACATGGTTATCTTGGCCAATATTTCGTCAATCAACACACACACATACTATATGGTTATCTTGACCAATATTTCGTCAATGAACACACAGACTACATGGTTATCTTGACAAATATTTTGTCAATGAACACACAGACTACATGGTTATCTTGGCAAATATTTTGTCAATGAACACACATACTACATGGTTATCTTGGCCAATATTTCGTCAATGAACACACAGACTACTTGGTCATCTTGGCCAATATTTCGTCAATGAACACACAGACTACATGGTTATCTTGGCCAATATTTCGTCAATGAACACACAGACTACATGGTCATCTTGGCCAATATTTCGTCAATGAACACACAGACTACATGGTTATCTTGGCCAATATTTCGTCAATCAACACACAGACTACATGGTTATCTTGGCCAATATTTCGTAAATGAACACACATACTACATGGACATCTTGGCCAATATTTTGTCAATGAACACATATACTACATGGTCATCTTGGCCAATATTTTGTCAATCAACACACATATTACTTGGTCATCTTGGCAAATATTTCGTCAATGAACACACATACTACATGGTTATCTTGGCAAATATTTCGTCAATGAACACACATACTACATGGTCATCTTGGCCAATATTTCGTCAATGAACACGCAGACTACATGGACATCTTGGCCAATATTTCGTCAATGAACACACATCCTACATGGTTATCTTGGCCAATATTTCGTCAATGAACACACATACTACATGGTTATTTTGGCCAATATTTCGTCAATGAACACACACACTACATGGTCATCTTGACCAATATTTCGTCAATGAACACACAGACTACATGGTTATCTTGGCCAATATTTCGTCAATGAACACACATACTACATGGTTATCTTGGCCAATATTTAGTTAATGAACAGTGAACACACATACTACATGGTCATCTTGGCGAATATTTCGTCAACCAACACTACAGTCTACATTGTATTCGTTGAATTCACAGACTACAGCAACAGCAATAACCAAAATAAATCGACTTTTGTCTTCACTCGTGCTGTTCGTATAAGCAATACTAGTCGCGTGTGATAGGTATTTTTGATGTTTCGAAACCTTTCACTTAGGTAACCGGGATTCGATTCGTCACTGTATTAGGAAAATCACTATTATAGTGGCAACGCCAGTTTATATTTATGGGCGCTAATGGTCCAATCTGATTAAAATCTGATGTAGTGTACGGGCTTTAATTATTTTGGCTATAAACTTATTTTAATTTTATTTTTTATTACTTTTGTTATTAATGCCCTTTTATTTTATCTTTTACTTTGATTTTGATTTTGATTTTGTGATTTTTTTTTTAATTCCGCCCTACCTACATCTGACCCGATGCCTATGTAACGAGATTTCAACGAGACCCGCTATCGACGATTTTAGTCAACGAATCACAGACCTCCTTCTATAGCGCACATGATGACGTCACCGGGCGGAGTCGGGTAGCAAACATACTTGTGGGTTCCATTTGAAGAGCGCATTGGATTGTGGGAAACTCAATGTTTATCAACACAAATGTCGCACATGCGCAGCGCGACGACTACCGCGCTTTAATCTGGAAAGAGGCCGGGTGTTGTTGCATTTGAAGGAAACTTTTTAAATACATTTTGCCAGTTCATTACAATTAAGAACTTTCTCGATTGTTTTAAGGTCAGAATATTATTTATATGTTTATTTGCTTATTCTAGTAAGATTTCCCTTTGTAAACTATATAGTGAACATGGATATGGTCCGTGTCTAATGACGGCCAAGTGAATTTCTAAAATTTTGGTTTTTGACGTACTTTTAATTGATGAATTGGCGGTAAGTAATCACAATTTAGATTTGTAGCTGTGATTCTCGTAGCTATTCCTGTGGTGGTGACATTTAGTTTTCAACAATAAGATTTTAAAATGAACGTTTTATTTTACTGAATTGCTAGGGGTCGGATATTGGTACATTCAATGTCACCAGTAAGTTGTGTTTTGACGCATTCTTTTCAATATTCATATAGATTAACGGTCCGTGGCTAATCTATACAATTAGGAGATATTTAGGCGGTAGTCGCAAGGTGTTTAAAGAGCGCCTCCAACATCAGTGTTGATTGACAAGTCGACTAGAAATAGAAAGTGCTAGTAATATGATCTGCGCATGTGCAACAAAACAACGCTGTAATCTACTGTTGACAAATGGCATGGATGTTGGACGGTACGTGTTATTTACGGCAGAATAATATAATAAACACTGAATTTCGAGTTTTGATTGGAACGTGCCTACAAACGCAATAACCGTTCTTCGTTTTTTCAAATTTCAGGCAACAGTTCGGTGTGTATGGGCTGTGGGCAGCCGATTTACGACGATCATCTTGTGCAAGCTCTGAACGGCGACTGGCATTCAGCTTGCTTCAGGTACGTCATGTAGTGTGTTTATGCTTACTTCATGTTTATTTCGTATACTAGTGCAGCGTGTCCACGAGATATTAAAGCCTATATCAGACGTGTTTCGATTTGTGTTGTGTAACTTGGTACACTGTAATGGAGCTGGTGTAATAATACGGTAATTCGGCTGACCTTCCTCCTGGAAACGTCATTCGGTACTGATTCAAATTTCAAGTGAATTACTGTGCATTTACGGTAACTGAATATATTGGCTATATATTCTTATCTATTTTCACATTTGTTGAAGATTGTAGACGAACTAACCAGACGATATAACAACCAGATGACAATACATTGACTGTGGTGAGATAATGGGCAATAATGAGGGGGATCGGCAAAGCGTTGAACGAATGAATGAATGAAAAATCTAAACAAACGTACATTCTTTTGCAATGACGAACACCTCCCACCTGTGGACAACATTATTTAATTTTTAGCTTCACGTTTCGGTCAATGTCATGGACAGTCTTTTTAATGCCCATTTCTTGAAAATGCGTCTTCTACAATACAACATATAAACAAAGTTAAAAATTTAATCAAAACAATATTGTATGATGACATTTATTTAATCTTTAGTTGATTATGCATAACAACCCTTAGGAAGATTGAAAAGAGTTATAAATGTGAAAATACTTACAAAACAATTTTAAAATATTTACAAATTATTTGAAATTCAGGTAGAAGCCTACTCATAAATTTATGCATTATCCAATAAATTGTACTCCCTGGCAATACAAGGATATTGACTTTAAAAAGTGAGGGGGTCACCAGCTTAATTTTTGAGAAAATAAGAGATGTATAGGATAAATTAATTAAATGCTTCAGACACTAAGCTTATAACAGTTTTTGCAAGCTGTGTATATTTCATTTTTGTGGTTACACTATCAGTATATATGTGTGTCTGTATGTCTTGCACCATTATCTCAAAAACGAATGCACTTCAATGAAAGTTTATACATAATTTCTCTGGGACAATGGTAGACTTGATTACTATTACCAGTAGGTTAAAATCCATGCATATAAATTATCTAATTTATAATAAATTACCTTATAATGTAATATTTATTAGTTTGGGGTTGCAATTAATGACCTAATTTGCATGATATTTTGTTTTTTCGCTTTCCCACCGATATCTCTAGAACAAATTATTGCTTTTCAATAAAACTTGGTTCATACATGTAGAAGATGCTTTGGGACAATGCAAAAGACTAAATTTTGAATTGAAATTCATGCTTACCTAATTTGCATAATTAGATAATTTCAAGTGGGGCTATGCCAGGCTTACTTTGATGTTTTAATTGTGAGTGCATTAACATAATAGCAGTATTTTAAAAACGGAACAAGAACACTTTTCATTTTGTCACGTTGTTCTGACAACAGACTTATGTTTACAATATTTGTATACATTGTTTACTTCACATTTGTCGTAAACATTTACTGTAATTTACTATATTTTCACTTTTTAGCTCCGCTGTCGACTTTGTCGAGCGGAGCTTATCATATGAGTGATTGTCCGTCGTCGTCTGTGTTTACTTTTTCGACTTCTTCTTGAAAACTACAAGCCTGAATGCTTT